ACATTAACAATTTCCTATTTAATTTATTAAGCTTAAGAAATTACTGAAGGTAAGTTATAGGGGGAAAATAAATCAAGGTAGGGTTACATAATTGTTTCCCATCAAGTAGGAAACTCTAAATTGCAAATAGCTTTATTATGTCCTCTAAATAGTGTAAACCTTAGGCATCTGTTGTTACGTCCTTGGCACTATTCCTGTGTTTCATTCACTGTGAAACAAAGGTGTAAGTTGCAGTCAGTATATTAGTTTGCTAGGGCTTCCAAAACAAATACCACAGACTGGGTGGCTTAAGCAACAGAAAATTTATTTCTCACAGTTCTGGATGCTACAAGTCCAAGCTCAAGATGTCAGTAGATTTGGTTTTTTCTAAGGACTCTCTCCTTGGCTTGCAGATGGTTGTCTTCCCACTGTGTCTTCACTTGATCTTTTCCGGATCCCTGGCACATCCCTGGTACATAATTTGTATGTCCAAATTTCCTCTTTTTCCAAGGAAAGTTAGATTGGATTAGAGCCCATCCTAAGAGTCTTGTTTAAACTTAATCACCTTTTTAAGGCCCTATCTCTAAACATAGTCTAAAATACTGGAAGTTAGAGCGTCAACATATGAACTTTGAAGGAATAATGAATTCAGTCAGTGAAATTGTATGTAATGTACTTTGCTGCCACAGAAGTTTTCAAGAATGAAAAGTATTGATTCTGTGCAAATGAATGATGGGCACAGTTGTTTGTACTGTGACTTCTGGCAAGTTAGCTCACAGTATGGATGACATGACACAGTTTATGAGTCTTGGGTCATTTTAAGCCAGATAATTGCAAAAGGACATCCTAATTTGAATAAAATTTCTGTCTTTTGCTGGTTTCTCTTCTTCTACTTGTTCTTTTAGTATGAGGCCTTTGGAACTGTCTTCAGTTCTTACATTATACCATCAGTGGTCTCTTCCTTTTCAAAATCAGTTGCCTTTTTTTTTTTAATCTAAACTACTCCCTCCTTGTAACAGCCTTCTTTCTCTATTTCTTTTCTTGTTTTGATTTTTTTTGAAGATTTTATTTATTTATTTGAGAGAGAGAGAGAGTGAGAGAGAGCATGAGAGGGGTGAGGGTCAGAGGGAGAAGCAGACTCCCCTCTGAGCAGGAAGCCTGATGAGGGACTTGATCCCAGGACTTCAGGATCATGACCTGGGCTGAAAGCAGTTGCTTAACCAACTGAGCTACCCAGGTGCCCCTCTTCTCTTTATTTATAACATCACACTTTTCTGGTTCTTTTCTGTCACAGGTTTCTCTTTCTCTTGTTTTCCTTCCTTACCTGAAATCTTTTCTATTTATACTCTTCCTTTTAGGTGACTTCTTTTCTCTGTGGTTTTCTATACCATCCATATGCTGACAATGCTGTTCTTTCTATTTCTATACTAGATCTCTCCTCCAAGCTTTAGACTCTTCTAACAAACTACCTATTTCATAACTTAACTCGGATGTCTCACACTTAGACTGGTGTTTGACACATGTCAGTACTACGTGAGTAGTCTTGGTCTTTGTTTTTTTAATGAATGGCACTATCATCTACCCAGTTATTTAAGCTGGAAAACTCAATTTCTTCCTTTTCTTCTCCTCTTAATCTTCAAGATGCATCTTGCTTCTGTACACTCTCTTCATCTCCATTGTCACCACCCTAATCCAAATGCAGCATCATCTCACACCTGACTAACTGCAAATGTCCCCAAACTATGGACTGTTAAGTATAGTGATTAAGAACCCAGGCTTTGGAATTGAACCGGCTAGTTTTAGTTCCTGGTTCCACCACTTGCAAGTTGTAATACCTTGAGTAACCTCTCTGCCTCTATTTCTTCATTTACAAAATGAGAATAATAATAATAGTAATAATAATAATAGAGCAGTGTGAGAAACAGAGAGTACCCTATTCCTAGAACCCATTGTAGTATCTCTGACTGTCTCCTAGTGCTGTCTCCCTAACAGTCCTATGGGATTATGCAGAGATGATGGCACAGTCAGCCACTAACCAGAATAGACACTGGTTGTTAAAAAGGACCATTTTGGAACAATTGTTTCCCTCAAGAACAAGTCAAAATGGTTTTCAGTACAATATTTGTGTCTGACAGAGTTTTTTTTTGGGGGGGGGGTATTTCTTTTTGAAGTGGCTCCTTAGCTGCATCCCACAAAGATGTCTTAATTTTATGTATTATAGAGAGAAATGGATTATATCCCTGGTTATTTACAAGCTGTCATTAATGGTTCTAGTTATAACTTGAATTTCCCTAAGCTTTACTAGGCTGTTGATGCAAATGAGACCCACATTTCACAGCCTTTTGCCCCCATTTGCAAATCCTCTGAAGTGCTCCACAGGATTTTCTGAGGTCTTTTCAATGACCTACAGCTAGGCTCCACACCAGATTGGTCAGAATCCTTGGAGGTTGGGGCTTAAGCACCTCTCTACTTTGAGAAATTTTTTCTCTAGAAATTTCTGTCGTACATGCCCGTGAATATGTATGTCCCTTCCAGCTGCTCCCTTTCTTGCTGAATGGTACTGACAATGCACCAGAGCCCTCAAAACATCAAAACTGTTGTTAGTGATCTCTAGCAATTTTCCTCTTTATTGGAATATACCTACACAAGGCAGGACAGCTAATGTCCCAACCTTTTATAGAGATATTGGTGAAATATTTCTCAGTTTTTTACTTATAGTCCTCCCCCCTTCCCCACACCCACGTGTGAGTCCATGAGACCGGGTTAGAGATGAATTAGAATGACCATGTCTGTGCTTTACTCAAAATTACTCCTCCCTTCCTCCATCAAGTAAGGCTTTGACTTTAGATCAAGCTTTCTGTACTTCTTTCATCTTCCTTCAGAGTGAGTTTTTCTCCTAGAATGCCACAGTTCTTTATGGGTATAAACTTCTGCTGGGTTTATGCACTTGTTTGTAACTTAGACTAGATTGTAAGAGTTAAGCTAGGACCTTTATTACCATGACAGCCACTGGGCATCATTGTGTGTCTTCTCTCATTTCTATACTGTTTTCTTTTGTTTTTCTTCGCCTACCGGTAGGTTGTTATTCTGCTTATCCCCACTTTAAGATGTGTTTACACATTTAAATAAATTTTAGTTCTAATTTTTAATTTACCAGCATCTTCCAAGTAGTCATTTACATTAAAAACTTCAACTTTGAATTTGTTTTTTAACTGGTACAAAATTTAGTTTGTGAAATAAGTACTGTATTTGGTAAAGAGGAAGCAGAGTCCTCCCCAAGGACCTCAGGGTACAGTGACTAATGGCAAAACTTCATTCTTTTTATTAGAGAAACTCACCAAGAGCCGAAAACTGAGATATCTTGAGTAATTCCAAGGTTCTTGGGTAGCTTCAGCCACACACCCTCTCTCTGAAGATGTACAGCTGTGTTCAGAACTTCTCTACTTTGGGATCCTACCTCTATTTCATTGTGAGCCAGCTGTGACTAACTTTGCTTTCTTATTTTTTGAGGGAACGGCAACTTAGATAGATGCAGTCTCCCACGGGGAGCACACAGTATCTGAGCAGCAACAACCCGGAGGGATGGAGACATGGTTAGTAAATGGTAGCTGATACTAGTAACAATAGCAAAAAATGATTGCTTCTCAAGAGCAAAGAGCATCAAATATTCTAGCAAAGCCTCCTAGGCTATTTAACCTTTATTTATTTTATTAAAAATTTATTTACTTATTTTATAGGCAGAGAGTGTGTGTGTGAGCTTGGGGAGGGACAGAAGGGGAAGGAGAGGGAAGAAATCTCAAGCAGACTTCCTGCTGTGCATGGAGCCCAATGCAGGGCTCTATCTCACGACCCCAAGATCATGACCTGAGCCAAACTCAGGAGTCATTTGCTTAACTGACTAAGCCATCCAGGTGCCCCTTTTCTAAAGTATTTAAATTACAGAAAGGACAATAAGTGATTTGGGGGAAATTAGATAGGAAATTGCCTGCTAAAATGATTAAAGAGCTCTCCTAAAAAATAAAACATTAAAATTAAGTAAAACCAGAATGACAGAGCTATTTCAGATTCTTCAGATTGAGAACCATCTAAACTATGATTAGAATGCTGGTGCATTGGGGCGCCTGGGTGGCTCAGTTGGTTAAGTATCCAACTCTTTTTTTTTTTTTTTTTGAGTCCATTAATTTTTTTTTATTTTTTTATATATTTTTTTAATTTTAATAAATTTTATTTTTTATAAACATATATTTTTTTTCCCCAGGGGTACAGGTCTGTGAATCGCCAGGTTTACACACTTCATTGCACTCATCATAGCACATACCCTCCCCAATGTCCATAATAACCCCAAGTATCCAACTCTTGATCTCGGCTCACCAACTCTTGATCTCGGCTCAGTTCTTAATCTTACCACCTGAGTTTGAGTCCCACACTGGGTTCCATGCAGGGTCTAGAGCCTACTTAAAAAAAAAAAAATACTGGCTCATTAAGTGGAGTCGTGTCATACTCAGTGATTAGATTCAGATTGATATATCCAAATTACCCTTGAAAATCCCTTAGGAAGCCAATACATTGGAATTCAATAATCTGTCTTTGAGAATTGGATTATATGGGTGGCTTGTGTTTCAAAGCTATGTTGCCTTTTAGAATATGTACCTTCCCTGAAAACCCTAAAGTCACACTGTTTGTAGAGAGGTGCTTGGATGACGAGAGGTATATGAACTTATGATCAACTGAGTAACCCGCAAATTCACACCACCCATATAATTAATACTCACTCCAGAGCATATGCTCACTGAAAGTCAGGCAGAATTGTCCATACTGTTTATACAGTAAATAATAATTTTTCTCTCTCGTACTGATGAGCTTATTATAGTTGAATTTGTGATAATTAACCTCATAAAGAAATAACACCACAGTATATGATTATGTATTATGTTAAGTTTACCTAAATTTTTGTCTAATATTTTTGTCATTTAAATAAGAAAGAATGATGCTATACTATACTATTCCTTTATTCTCTACAGATAATGGATTCTGAATTAATGCACAGTATAGTAGGAAGCTATCATAAACCTCCAGAAAGAGTGTTTATTCCATCATTTACCCAGAATGATGCAGCATCTCAGACTCACCACTCCACAAACGTAGAAGCCACCTCTCCTAAAATGCTTCATAGTCCAAACAGCCAAGGTAATTCTAATATGAAGTCATATTTAAAATTAGGGGAATGATATGAAATATGTTATAGAAAACTTTACATTTTTATGTAGAAAAAAGTATGATTGTTTAATCTTAATAAAACTATTAGTTTTGACTCTGTTGCTTAAAGTTTCTATAAACATAGATAAGTTATTTAACATTTTTTTCCCAAAGATATTATTTATTTATTTGTTAGAGAGAGGGAGAGAGAGAGAGAGCACGAGCACAGGCAGACAGAGTGGTAGGCAGAAGCAGAGGGAGAGGCAAGCTCCCTGCCAAGCAAGGAACCCGATGTGGGACTCAGTCCCATGATGCTGGGATCATGACCCGAGCCGAAGGCAGCCGCTCAGCCAACTGAGCCACCCAGGCGACCCAAGTTATGTAACATTTTTTATTTTGGCTTCTTCAGCTGTAAGATAGAGATTTACCAGCTAGACACATAATTACAATTTTATCCTAAAAAATCATGAGAAAATAGGAAAATACTCTTTGAAGAATCAAAGGTCAGATTTGGAATCTTTCTAAACTAGATGATTAGAATATTGGTGAATTAAGTAAAGTTATATCTTATTCAAGGATTAAATTCAGAAATTTCCTATTTTCAAAATTATGCTTGACATTGGAGTAACTATGAAATAAAAGTATTGTAACTTTTAAAAAGGAGGATATCAGAATTGAATTAGGAAAACATACCTATGCCATATGAATTGCCTTCTAAAACACTGGTTATTACCTTTTTAAAAAATACTCTTTAATAATGGTTACCATTAATAAATAGACTAGCTTTGTGGAGGAAAAAACCACAAGAAATATTCCAAATCAGCAAATTAGGTATTGCATATCTAAAAAGCAATAAATATAATTTCTTTATGTCATTTGTTATTAAAAAAAAAAAAAACCCAAACCCAAAAAGAACCAAATGGTAATCTCTAGCAAACATCTTTCTCATTGGATATGAACTACAGGCATACCTTGGATATATTGTAGGTTTGATTCCAGACCACCACAATAAAGTGAATATATCACAATAAAGTGAGTCAAATGAATTTTTTTGGTTTCCCAGTGCATATAAAGGTTACATTTAGACTATACTGTAGTCCATTAATTGTGTAATAGCATTGTGTCTAAAAAAACAATGTACTATATATCTTAACTAAAAAATACTTTATTGCTAAAAAATGCTAAGCATCATCTTATCTTTCAATGAGTCATAATCACTGATCACAGATTGCCATAACAAATATAATAATGAAAAGTTTGAAATACTACAAACATTACCAAAATGTAACACTGAGACATGCATGCAGTGAACAAATGCTATTGGGAAAATGGTGCTGGTAGATTTATTCAACATATGGTTGCCACAAACCATCGTTCAATTTGTAAAAAATATATTATCTATGAAATGCAGTAAGGTGAGGCATAATAAACCAAGGTAGGCTGGCATATGAAAATTAACCTATAACATTTACTTATATTCCATTACACTCCAGTTTTATAGTTTGAAGTTATAACTGAATAGAAAGTTATTTGAAAATTGTATAACTCTGAACATACCCGAATCATGATGATATTAATATAGCTGAATAAAAATCACAGTTGTACATGTGTACCACTTAAAATCTTTCAAGCCTGACGTGAGTTAAACTACTAGGTTGTAATTTTTTTTTTTTTTCTTGTGGAAGAAACTGTTGTAACTCATATATTCTGATTATTAATACTCTATCTTAGACAAAAACAATAAATGTTTGTGATTTAACTAAAATTGGACATATCAAGAACTGAGAAAAACCTTTAACATTAAACCTAAATTTCCATGTTAATTAGTGACACAACATCCTAACTTTCTTTATCCGTACTCAGGCTCTTATGCCTCCTAGACTGTATATTTGATGATATTTATTTTATTGAATTAAATTTTGATTATTAGCTATCTCAAACCTAGAAAATTACTAAATACAATAATAAATATATTGTTTTTAGAAGATATGTTAGAAAAAAACTTCTCTTTTTAGAGTTTTAGTGTGTTTTTTTGAGAAATATATATTACTTGTATGTTTTTCTGGATCACTAACAAAAATACTGTTCAGTTTTATTGCTACTGTATAAGTGTTCAGAAATTTTCACTAACGTAACAAGCAAATTTTTTTCAACAGCTCTTATTTTAGCCTTAAAAACTCTTCAGGAAAAGATTCATCGTTTAGAGTTGGAGAGAACACAGGCTGAGGATAACCTAAACATTCTATCCAGAGAAGCAGCACAGTATAAAAAGGCCTTGGAGAAAGAAACAAATGAAAGAATTCTGGCACACCAGGAACTGATAAAACAGAAAAAAGGTAAGGAAATTCAATAGTTCTCAGAAACAAGGAGTTATCAAAATTTACAACTTGAAAATAAAAAGCCCAGTTTAAGATTTACTCAAATATCTTTGTTCTTATATATATTCAAACCTTGAGGCCTTGTTCACAGACAATGTGATATTTGCATTAAATAGATATCACTTTGAGCTTCTATTGTTTATTATCCCAGTTCATAAATTCTTGAGATTAAAAGACAAATTAAGTTTTTAGACAGATTGTGAAATTAGGCTATTTTCAGAATACCAACAAAATCTAGTTTTACCTATAATATAATTGAAATGCTTCACACATTCAGTCAATACTGGTTTTTAAAATTTGAAAATAGAAAGCAACACTAGTAATTAGACAATACAGAAACCATAAAAATACATTAAAATTTTTGTTAACTTGAAAGATTAATTAGAAGAAATGGACAGGTAAGTAGAACTTTCTGTGGAAATTATGAAAAAGACATCTGAACCTAAGTTTTAGAGATTTAGAATATTAGTTCTTTGTATAATTTTTACTTCATAATGTATGGCTTTCTTTTTCCTTGTACTACATTCACCTTCATAAATAATGTTGAAGTTTGTGTTTCAAGTTATAAATAGAGTGAAGAAATGAGAAAATTTTTTCTGAGGTAATTGGACAAAAGTAGACTAAAGAGCTGAGGAAAGTAAAAAATTAAAGGATTAGAAAGATGTTGCTTACTTCTTGGGAAATAACCATGCTGTCAGTAGTCAAGTCTTTTTCTTTTCCTGAAAGATAAAAATATATTGATAGGAAAGAGACTTTAGGTCCTCTATTTTTCTAGATAATGTCATTTCCCAGGAACAGCCAGGATTTTTATCATTCCACAAGTCACTGACATCTTACTCTTTCAGAAGTTTGCCCTGTGGGCCTTTTAGGGGAAGACAATGTAAAACTAGTATTATGTAGTTAATGAGATAGTCACAAAATGAATGCCCACAACACTTACAGTCGGTATTTAGAACTAAAGAGCTTTTAGTTCTTGATTGAATTTATATAATGTATTTCTGTGACTACCAAATCTCTGATCTATATGATAATCCAGACATTATTACTTTTTCTTTTTCACAGATATTACTATACAGTTAAGCTCAGCTCAGTCTCGCTGTACTCTTCTAGAGAAACAATTAGAATATACAAAGAGAATGGTTCTCAATGTAGAACGAGAGAAGAATATGATCCTAGAACAACAGGTAAACACATTTTCTATAGGAATATAATATCGTTTAATGTGTTTTTGAAGAATATTTAATGTCATGAGAAAATTATATTATAATCTTAATTAGGATAGAAAGCTATATTGAGGAGATTTCCACTTACAGTGAAGCAGAGTAGGTCATTTGGAACAACCTTTCTGTAGAAGAAAACACAAAAAACTGGACAGGATATTAAAGAGGAAGGAAGGAAGGAAAAAAGATAGAGAGGAAAGAAAGAAAGAAAGGAAGGGAGGATGAAAAGGGGAAAATACTTAAAGGCATTGGAGAGTTAATGAAGTCATGAAAATCACCAATTAAAAATCTATGTGTATGCTTAAATCCAAAGAGTTTGGCCTCCAGAGAATGTGATTTCAGGCCTCATCCTTCTTAGGGAATTTCTGATACCAGAAGAGTACATTGAGAGGCTAAATAATGCGCTTTTTTTTTTTTTTTAAGATTTTATTTATTTTTTGAAAGAGAGCAGAGAAAGAGAGAGCTCGCACATGAAATGGGGAGGGGCAGAGGGAGAGGGAGAAGCAGACTCCCCACTGAGCAGGGAGCCTGATGCTGGGCTTGATCCCAGTACCCTGAGATCATGACCTGAGTGGAAGACTTAGCTGACTGAGCCACCCAGGTCCCTCTAAATAATGCTTTTAAAGCTATAGGGCTTAAGCAATTGAAGTTAGATTCCAGAGCCTATCAAGAGTAGGAACTCTGATAATTTTCCTATGCTCTGAATTCTTTGCAAAGGTGAACAAGAAAGAAAACAATCCAAATTACAACTCTATCAGAGTAATCCGGAAAATCTTGTTCCCTGAAATGGAATTAAAGTGATCCTGGATAGCAAATGTTCCTGGGGACCTCAAATTATTCCTACGAACATTTAACAGGAATAACTTGATCAGACATAACGAGGCAGCTGGAGTTAAGACCCTATGAAAATTGTTTTCGTTAGTGTTTTATAGTTTTCAGAGAACAGTTCTTTTACCTGTTTGTTTATTCATAGGTATCTTATTATTTTTGGTACAATGGTAAATGGCATTTATTCCTTCATTTCTCTTTGTGTTACTGCTTCATTATTGGTGTACAGAAATGTAATGGATACGTGGGTGGCTCAGTCAGTTGAGTGTTCAACTCTTGATCTCAGAATTGTGAGTTCAAGCCCCACATGGGGCTTCACATTGGGTATATACCCTACTTAAATAAAAACATTTTTTAAAAAGAAAGAAATGCAATCAATTTCTGTACATTGATTTTATATCCTGTGACTTCACTGAATTCATTTATCAGTTCTAGCAGTTTTTCAGTAGAGTCTTTAAGGTTTTCTATATACAGTATCATGTCACCTATAAATAGTGAAAGTTTTACTTCTTCTTTGTTGGAACACTGATGAAAGAAATTGAAGAAGACACAAAGAAATGGAAAAACGTTCCATGTTCATGGATTGGAAGAACAAATATTGTTAAAATGTCTATACTACCCAAGCAATTAACACATTTAATCTCTTAACAAAATACAAACAGCATTTTTCACAAAGCTAAAACAAACAATCCTACAATGTGTATGGAACCAAAAAGACCCCAAATAGCCAAAGCATCTTGAAAAAGAAAAGCAAGGCTGGAGGCATCACAATTCTGGACTTAAATTATATTACAAAACTATAGGGATCAAAACAGTATGGTACTGACACAAAAATAGACATGTATCAATGGAACAGATTAGAAAACCCAGAAACAAACCCACAACTATATGGTCAATTAAGCTAAAAACAAACTGGGAAAGACTATCCAATGGAAAAAAGACAGACTCTTCAACAAGTGGTGTTGAGAAGACTGGACAGCAACATACAAAAAGAATGAAACTGGACCACTTTTTTACATCATACACAAAAATAAATTCAAAATGGATTGAAGACCTATGTTTGAGACAGGAAACCATTAAAGTCGTAGAGAAGAACACAGGCAATAACCTCTTTGACATTGGCTATAGCAACTTCTTTCTAGATAAGTCTCCTGAGGCAGGAGAGACAAAAGCAAAAATAAACTATTGGGACTTCATCAAAATAAAAAACTTCGTGGCAAAGGAAACAATCAACAAAACTAAAAGGCAACCTTCGGAATGGGAGAAGATATTTCCAAATGACATATCTGATAAAGGGTTAGTATCCAAAATAATATAAAGAACTTACAAAACTCAACACCCCCAAAACAAATAATCCAGTTGAAACATGGGGAGAAGACATGAATAGACATTTTTCTGAAGAAAACATCCTGACGGCCAACAGACACATGAAAAGATACTCAACATCACTGATCATCAGGGATATAGAAATCAAAACCACAATGAGCTATCACCTTATACCTGTCAAAATGGCTAAAGTCAACAACATAAGAAACAACAGGTGTTGGCAAGTATGGGGATGGTGAGAAAGGGGACCCTTTTGTGCACTGTTGGTGGGAATGCAAATTGGTGCAGTCACCATGGAAATCAGTATAGAAGTTCCTCAAAAAGTCAAAAGAGGTACCCTACGATCCAGCAATCACACTACTAGGTATTTATCCAAAGGATACAAAAATGCTAATTCAAAGGGATACATGCACCCTGATGTTTATAGCAGCATTATCTACTATAGCCAAATTATGTGAAATAGCTCAAGTGTCCATTGACTGGTGAATGGATAAAATGAATGTGGACCGTTACTTGGCTATAAAAAAGAATAAAGTCTTGCCATTTTCGATGACATGAATGGAACTAGAGAGTATAATGCTAAGCAAAATAAATCAGTCAGAGAAAGACAAATACCATATGATTTCACTCATATGCAGAATTAAAGAGACAAATAAGCAAAGGGGAAAAAGAAGAAAGACAAATCAAGAAACAGACTCTTAACTATAGGGAACAAACTGATGGTTACCAGAAGAAAGGTAGGTGGGGGGTGGGGTTCAATAGGTGTTGGGGATTAAGGAGCACATTTGTTTGTGATGACCACCAGGTGATGCCTGAAACTGTTGAATCACTGTTGTACACTTGAAATTAATAGAACATTGTATGTTAGCTGGAATTTAAATAAGTTTTACTTAAAGAAAAAAAGACACTATGAAAAGAAATAACATGCATAACAGACTATATGAGCACTCTTACAAGTTATTTCCAGCTGGATGCTAGCTCTAAAAGACACAGACTTTAAAATAATTGTGCTTGGGGCACTCAGGTGGGTTAGTCAGTTAAGTGTCCCACTCTTCGTTTCAGCTCAGGTCACGATCTCAGTGTTATGAGATCCATTCCTGTATGGGCTCTGCACTCAGCATGGAGTCTGCTTGAGATTCTCTCCCTCTTCCACCCCCTACCACCCCTTTCACTCACTCTTTTGTTCTCTCTCTCTCTCAAATAAATAAATAAATAAAATCTTTAAAAATATAATAATTATGCTTGTTATAATTAAGGAGATAAAAGACAGGATTGACATTTTCAGGAAAGCATTGGAAACCAAAAAGGCAGAGCAGATTTGAGAGAGAACCATGTAAAAATTATGGAACTGAAAAATATAGTATATGAAATCTAGAACTGAATGGATGGATCTAATGGTAGATTGGAAGAGATAATTAGTGAACTGGAAGGCAAAATCATCCATATGAACAAAGAGGTGAAATGAAAGTAAATTGAGAAGAGAGAACAAGAGGCATAAGTTAGAGTGAGAAGGTCAAACTTAAGTGTAATTGGAGTTCCATCAGGAAAGGAGAGAAAATGGCACAGAAGCACTATTTGAAGAGATAGTGACTGAGAATTTTCCAAAATGGATTAAAAAAAATCACACCACAGATTCAAGAAAACCAATCCCACAAAACCTATAAAACTAAATCAGGATGAATGAAAAGAAATATATACCTAGATACCTCATAATGAATAATAAGACAAGCATAAAATCTTAAAAGCTGGTGGGGGAAAAAGATTACATTCAAAGGGACAAGAATTAAAGTGACAATTGACTTCTCAAAGTACTGAATTCATAAGACAATGGACTGATAGTAAAAGGAAATACCTACCAATCTAAAAGTCCTAAATCTGGGGAAAATATCTTTTAGAAATAAAGATGAGGGGCACCGGGGTGGCTCAGTCAGTTAAGCATCTGCCTTTAACTCAAGTCACTGTGCCCTATGACAGGCTCCCTGCTCAGTGGAGAGACTGCTTCTCCTTCTCCCTCTGCCCCCCCGCCCCTGTTCTCTCTCACATACGTGCACTCTCTCTCTCTCATATAAATAAAATCTTAAAAAAAGAAAGAAAGATGAAATAAAGACATTTAAAGACTAACAAAGACTGAGATTATCTGTTACCAGGAGATCTGTTCTAAAGGAAACACTAAAGGACATTATTCAGACAAAAGGAAAAGTATCTTAGATGGAAGGTCAGAGATGCAGGAAAGAAATAAGGGCAGCACAGATGGTGTGTATGTGTGTGTAGGTGTATGTAAATCTAAGTGAATATTGTATAAAACAATAATAATGTTTTACGTGGCTTAAAGATATATAAAGGATTAAAACTAATGAGGACAACAGCTTATAAATTAGGAAGCTTATAAATTAGTAGTTTAAAGTGTTGTAAGGTTTGGGGGCACCTGGCTAACGCAGTTAGAAGAGCCTGTAACTCTTGGTTCTGAGTTCAAGCCCTATGTTGGGTGTTGAGATCACTTAAAAATAAATTAAAAAATGAAAAAAATACTAAGTGTTGTAAGGTTTTTGCATTGTTTTGGAAGTGGGTAACAGTACCAATCAATACTGGATTTTAATGGGCCAAGTATTTAATAGGTTTTTTTTCCAGGAACTATAGAAGTTGACTCTAAGATTTATAGGGAAAAGCAAAGGTCCAAGAATAGCAAAACTAGTCTGAAGAATTAGGTCCTGTTCTATTACATATTGAAACAAATTGTAACTCTAACAAAATTAATATATTTGTATGGATAGACAAAGCAGAATAAACGAATAGACTATACTCAGAAACAAACTCACATGGAAAAAATACAAGAATGCCATTTGCAGATCAGTGGGGAAAAGATAGACTTCAATAAGTTGTTTTAGGAAAACTGGTTAGCTATGTGAGGAAAAAATAATGAAATTGGATCCCAATCTTACATCATACACAAAATCAATTCTAGGTGGGTTAAAGATTTACACATAAAAGACAAAACTTTGTAATTTTTAAAAAGCAAATGCAGAACAATGTCTTGATGACCTTGGCATGGAGAACAATTTCTTAACAAGATATAAAAAGTAACAAAACAGTAGGAAAATGGGCCCAGTTATGAAGAGGCATTTTCCAGGAAAAAAGATCTTGCAAATGGTCATATATTTATAGAAGAATTGTCATTCTCATTTAGTAACTAGGAAAATGCAAAATAACAGCACAAATAACAGCACATCCAGTCCACCAGATTGGAAAAAAAACCTATAAACCTGGTAATTCTGGGTTTTATTTATAAATGAGGGTGCAACAAGTAGAAGAGCAACCACTTCATAAACTACAGAAGATAAAATATAACTTATTATATAATAATAATTACAAAATATGTTATATTTTATCTTATGAACTAACCTAGAAATTCCTATCTAGCTAAATATTGTAGATCAGTGACTTTCAGCCGTTCTTTAAATGTTTTTTATTGAGGTATAATATTTTTTGAGGTATAATTTTTATATGGTGAAATGCAGAGATTGTAAGTGGAACGTTCAGTGATTATTGATAAATAAATGTACTCATACAATCCATAGCCGTACCAAATAACAGAAATTCTCTGATAAATCTCTGTCAAGATATTTGCTGCTCTACCTCCCAATAAGGCAACTACTATTCTGCCTTACTTTTACCTTAGAGTTTTTGCCTGTCCTAGAATTTTATATAATTGGATCATAGAAAATGTACTCTCTTGTTTAGCATAAAGTTTTTTAGATTAAGCCATGTTGTTGTATATATAAATAGTTTTTTACTTTTTATTGCTGTCTAGATTTTGTTATACAGATATGCCATGATTTGTTTATTTGTTTTTCATAAAATTAGTTGGGAAGATACTTTCTCCTGTTTTCTGAAAGATCTTGTGTAAGATTAGCATTATTTCTTCCTTAAGTGTGTGAGATAGAATTCAAATTTGATAGAAGCTATCTGGGACTGCCATTTACTTTGTGGACTGTTTTTAGATTATGAACTCAGTTGTTTTTTGTTTTTTGTTTTTTGTTTTTTTTTTTAACAGGTATAGGCTACTTGGATTTTCGGTTTTCTTTTTGTGTCTTTAGAGATGTACCCCCTTTCATTTCTGATATTGCTAATTTATAATTTTCCTTTTTTAAAATTATTTATCTACTCTCACTTTGTTTTTTTAAAAAAGCAACCTTTTTATTTTTAATTTTTTATTTCCTACTTAGTTGATTTCTACTTTATTATTTCTTTCCTTCTACTTATATAGGGTTTAATTTGCTTTTCTCCCCCTACCTTTGTATGTTGGAAGTTTAGTTGATTGATTTTAATACTTTTATTCTTTCTTCTAAATGTTGCATTTTATGATGAAAGTTATCGAGTTCTCCCTAAATTGCTTTACCTGCATCCCACAGATTTTGATATTTTGTATTATTTTCATTATCATCCAGCTAAAAATATTTTCGAACTTTTCTAGTGATTTCTTTTTAAATTTTATTGACTTCTTCTTGTCCTCTGGTAATTCTCTCCTCCTCCTGCTTTTTAGTAGCTGCTGTACAGGTTAAAATATGTATTCTTAACTTACCACACTCTCATGAATTAGTATTAAAACACCTCAATATAATGTACCATCCTCACTAAAGTATGCTTCTACTTGTCTCCCTTTGATCTACAGCTTCCATACATTTAATTCTGCTTTTTTGTAAAACCCACAAGATATCATAATTATTTCTCCTTTAAAGGTTAATTATCCTTTAAAGAAAAGCTAAATAAGTTGAAATATATATCTTTTCACATTTTTACCATTTCCAGTGTTTTTTATTTCTTTGTGTAGATTTGATCTTATGTCTGGTGTCATTTCCTTAAGGCCGAAGTACTTCCTTTACAAATATGCTGGGAATTCTCTTAGCATATATTTTTCTGGAAAAGTCTTTATTTTGCCATTATTGAATAAGGATATTTTCACTGCATATAAAATTCTATTTGACAGCTTTTTTCTCTCAGCATATTAAAGGTGTGGTCAAAGTTGTCTTCTGGATTTCATAGGGTTTTTTTGTTTTGTTTTGTTTTGTTTTTATTTATTTATTTGACAGAGAGATCACAAGTAGGCAGAGGCAGGCGGGGGTTGGGGGGGAAGCAGGCTCCCCGCTGAGCAGAGAGCCCAATGTGGGGCTCGATCCCAGGACCCTGAGACCATGACCCGAGCTGAAGACAGAGGCTTAACCCACTGAGCCACCCAGGTGCCCCTGGATTTTGTAGTTTCTAATGAGAATTCTTACCTTCATTCTTCTGTGCATAAGTACCATCATTTCTCAGGCTGCTTTTAAGGTTTTTCCTGGTTTTCAAAAATTTGATAATGTGTCCAAATGTGGGTGTTTTTGTATTTGTTCTGCTTGGATTTTTAAATTTATTATTATTATTGAATCTGTCAGTTAATATTTTTCATCAAATTTGGAACATTTTTAGCCATTATCCTTCAAATAATTATTCTTGTCTGACTTCACTCTTCTCTCATTCTGTAACACCATTTGAATGTTAGATCACAGGTCACCAAGACTGTTTGATTGTTTCAGTTTTCACCTTACAAATTTAATATAGATTTCACTGTTGATATTTTCTGAGTAGAAATGTTATATAAAACATGCATAGAAGAGTATGTTCCATTAATGCTAATATAGCTTATCTTTTTTTGTATGTTCTTTAAAAGTATTTGATTTTCTTTTTTACTCATAATTACCTAAAATATGTACATGTACATACGTGCTTCTTATGACAGATTTATCATGCTTTAATTCTCAGAAATTGTATTATTTTTGAGCCATTAGCATCACTTGCCAAATTGAGGTTTTGTTTTTATCCTTTCCAGGCCCAGCTTCAAAGGGAAAAAGAACAAGATCATAGGAAGCTGCAAGCAAAACTTGAAAAACTTGATGTCTTAGAAAAAGAATGTTTTAAACTTACAACCACTCAGAAAACTGCTGAGGTAAGCTTCCACTTATTTCTTTGAAGTGATGATGCCAGGAATAAATCTTTAGTGTTAAGCAGGTGTTAAGCCCTCTATGTGAATATACAGTAAATCTGATATAAAACTTCTTTAACAGCTCTTAGTAATCCACATATGAATTTCTGCCTGTGGAGATAAAAATTTAATCTATTCTGTCATGGCATGAATGAGCTTGCCTTTTGATGTAAAATTGTAATTTTGGCTTCTTTTGAAATGGCAGAACATTTTCATTTGTCAGATAATTTGCCTAAAGGGTATTGAAAAGATTGTTTTTCACTGCTTGCAGTTAAATCTATCCTCAATCCCCCCTGAAATGCCCTCTCCTATTTCAACCCACATTTTATCCATATCATAGGACTTTTCTCCAGGTCCTGCTTCTGCTATGAAGCCTTCCTTGAGTTCTCCAACATAAAGGGAGCTCTCCCTTTGAAATGTAACTGTCCTCAAATTCTGAATCATACAATAGGTATAAGATGAAGTACTTATATGTATAAGTGTATACATGGTCTGAGTCAAATTATACTCATTGTCTTGTTGTTTATTTCAGGTATGTTACTATTGTTTCCTTAAGTACAGTATAAGCTCTCAAGCAACAAGGAACATATCTTATTTTTTTTTATCTTTTTAATTGAGGTAAAATTGACATAGAGCATTATATTAGTTTCAGATGTACAACATAATGATTTGGTATTTGTATTTTTTTATATTTGTATATTTTACAAAATTATCGTCCCAGTAAGTCTAGTTAATATCCATCACCATATGTTGTTACACAATTTTTTTTTAAGATTTTATTTATTTATTTGACAGAGAGAGATCACAAGTAGGCAGAGAGGCAGGCAGAGAGAGAGGGGGAAGCAGGCTCCCTGCTGAGTGGAGAGCCCGATGTGGGGCTCGATCCCAGGACCCTGGGATCATGACCTAAGCCGAAAGCAGAGGCTTTAACCCACTGAGCCACCCAGGCGCCCCTCACAATTTTTTTTTTAAGTTTTTATTTAAATTCCAGTAAGAGGGGGCACCTGGGTGGCTCAGTTGATTGAGCGTCCAACTCTTGGTTTCAGCTCAGGTCATGATCTCAGGGTCATGTGATCGAGCCCCATATTAGGCTCTGGCATTCAGTGAGGAGTCAGCTTGGAATTCTCTGTCTCTCTTTCTCCACCTCTCCCCCGATCCCACACTCTCTCTCTTTCTCTTTCAAGTAAATAAATAAATCTTTGAAAAGAATTCCAGTTAACATATAGTGTAACATTAGTTTCAGGTATATAATAGAGTGAATCAGCAGTTCCGTGCATCACCTGGTGCTCATCACAACCAATGTAGTCCTTAATCCCCATCACCTGTTTAACTCATCCCCCCCTACCCACCTCCCTTATGGTAACCATCAGTTTGTTCTCTATAGTTAAGAGTCTGTTTCTTTTTTTTTCTTTATTAAAGATTTTTATTTATTTATTTGACACAGAGAGAGATCACAAGTAGGCAGAGAGACGGGGAGGGAGAGGGGGGAAGCAGGCTTCCCGCCAAGCAGAGAGCCCGATGTGGGACTCGATTCCAGGACCTTTAGATCATGACCTGAGCTGAAGGCAGAGGCTTAACCCACTGAGCCACCCAGGCACCTGTTAAGGGTCTGCTTCTTGATACGTCTCTCTTTGTGCCTTTTTTCCCCTTTGCTCATTTGTCTCTTAAATTCCAAATGTGAGTGAAATCATGTGGTATTTGTGTTGCTCTGACTTACTTATTTTGCTTAGCATTATACTCTCTAGTGAAATTTCAGCTCTTTCTGCCTTCAAAGTAAGGTTGGAGGTCACCTATCTACTTTTCTGTCTTGCAAAAATCATTGCCAACTTTTCTCACGTTACCTTGTGGTGTGTTTGTCCTTTGGTATTTAAAACTTTCTTATTCCATCCATGTCATTGTAAATGGCAACATTTCATTCCTTTTTATGGCTGAGTTATGGCTTATTGAATAAATATATATTTATATATGGCAATATATACACACATCTTTTTTTTTTAAGATTTTATTTATTTATTTGACAGATAGAGATCACAAGTAGGCAGAGAGGCAGGCAGAGAGAGAGGAGGAAGCAGGCTCCCTGCTGAGCAGAGAGCCCGATGTGGGGCTCGATCCCAGGACCCTGGGATCATGACCCGAGCCAAAGGCAGAGGCTTTAACCCACTGAGCCACCCAGGCACCCCTATACACACATCTTCTTTATCCCTTCATCAGTTGGTGGACACTTGAGCTACTTCCATAGTTTGGCTATTGTAGATAATGCTGCTATAAACATCAAGGTGCATGTATCCCTTTGAATTAGTATTTTTGTATCCCTTGGGTAAATACCTAGTAGTGTGATTGCTGGATCGTAGGGTACCTCTATTTTTGACTTTGAAGAACTTCTATACTGAGTTCCACAGTGATTGCACCAGTTTGCATTCCCACCAACAGTGCACAAGGGGTCCCCTTTCTCGCCATCCCATCCTTGTCTATACCTGTTGTTTCTTATGTTGTTGACTTTAGCCATTTTGACAGGTATAATGTGATAGCTCGTTGTAGTTTTGATTTGTATATCCCCGATGATCAGTGATGTTGAGTATCTTTTCATGTGTCTGTTGGCCATCAGGATATCTTCTTCAGAAAGATGTCTATGTCTTCTATCCATGTCTTGGGGGTGTTGAGTTTTGTAAGTTCTTTATATTATTTTGGTTACTAACCCTTTATCAGATATGTTATTTGTAAATACCTTCTCCCATTCCATAGGTTGCCTTTTAGTTTTATTGATTGTTTCCTTCACTGTGCAGAAACTTTTTATTTTGATGTAGTCCATATCTTATATTTCTATGTCTTCCTATCCCTTCCCTCTGTCAATAGCTGCACCCTTAATAATATGCACACGGTAGACATTTCTCGTGATTTCTCTGTTTTGAATGAAACATTGAGACCCAAGACTATGATCATTTGAACCTCTAAACATTTAATACCCCGCAAAACTTCATCATTATAGTTTTTTTGCTAGAAATAAATAATGCCTTTGCATGTACATTCTTTGCTTTTCCTTTATTCTTCTTATATGTAATAGCAGGTAAAGAAGCATAGGAAGAAAGCCAAGAAAAATCATAGTATCTTTGACATTTCTTTTTCTGACTTTCTGCTTTAATTTGCTCAACTACAAAGAATCAAGACTTGAAGACTCTATGTGGAAAAAGAACAAAGGCTAATTTGGCTCTAGTTTTTATATAAGAATCTAATTTTTTGTTCTTTTGTAGGACAAGATTAAACATTTAGAGGAAAAACTTAAGGAAGAAGAACATCAGCGTAAGCTGTTTCAAGACAAAGCATCTGAAGTAAATAGAGCATTATGGCATTTATCACAATAAACCACACATGTTTCATTATGCTTTGTTTTCATTATCTGTAGACTATATTTTAGACTATAATTTCTGCTTCCTAGCTTGTTAGTTTTGTCTCTTTTTGCTATAATAATGAGATTATCAGTAACTCAACCATACTTGGATGCGCTGCCAAAAGAAGTCTTGTAGTCTTTTGAAATTCTGACACACACACACAGATATGTATGTACATATACATATATATATATATGATAATACCTGATATAGATTGTTTTCAATTTGATTAACATATATGTGTTAATGCATTATTTTATAAGCAGAAAATGATTACAATTACCAATAGACTTAGTAGCTTTCACAAACAAAAAATAGCATTTGGGGTTTTCTTTTTTCTTTTCTTTCCTTTTCTTTCCTTTCTTTTCTTTTTAAGATTTTATTTATTTGTTTCAGAGATAGAGAGTGACCATGAGAGGGAGGAGGGTCAGAGGGAGAAGCAGACTCCCTGCTGAGCAGGGAGCCCGATGTGGGACTGGATCCCATGACTCTGGGATCATGACCTGAGCCGAAGGTAGATGCTTAATCAACTGAGCCACCAAGGCACCCTGGGGTTTTCTTTTTTTCCTCAAAAAGCACTTTTTTTAAAAAAAAGATATCGTTTACTTATTTTAGAGTGAGAGCACATCAGTTTCGAAAGGGGACAGAGACAGAGTCTTAAGCAGGCTCAGCGCTGAGCACAGAGCCTGACATGGTGCTTGATCTCATGACCTAAGCCAGGTGCTCAACCAACTGAGCCACCCAGGCGCCCCAAGCATTTTGTCTTCATAAACTGAGACTTGATTTCTTATTACAATGTTTTTGAAGAAGTTTGTTAAAAAATCAGTTGTATAAAGCTTTTTCTTTAATATTGTAGCTTCAAACTGGACTTGAAATCAATAGAATTTTAATGTCTTCAGTATCAAATCCAAAACACTCTAAGGAAAAGAAGAAGTCTTTGAAGGTATGCAGATACTTCATTCTTATTTGCTAATGCTTATTTCTTTACCTTTTAAATATTTATACCTATCCATTTCCAAAAAGAATTTGAAGAGATTTATAATAAAACACATGGAATAGTGCTTTGAAATGTGATTGGTTTTAGGTTTGATGATAGAAAATTCCATAAAATTTCCATAAAATCTAGTTAAAGAAAGTATCAGCAGTTAAGCACAAAACCTGGGTTGGTTGGTTGTTTGTTTTTTAAGATTGTATTTGTTTATTTGTCAGAGAGAAAGAGCACAAGCGTGGGAAGCAGCAGGCAGAGCAGGCAGAGGGAGAAGCAGGCTCCTGCTGAGCAGGGAGCGCAAAGTGGGACTTGATCCCAGGACCGTGGGATCATGACCTAAGCCGAAGGAAGACGCTTAATTAACCAAGCCACCCAGATGCCCCAGACAAAACCTAGTTTTGAGTTTACTTGACAACCAAAGCAAAAAAGACCATATGACAGTAGGTATATTTGTGAAACAATAATAAACATTCCAATTTTTCTAGAAAGATAAACATTTTCCTAGTACTAAACTATTTTTTGCGATTTGTGCAACTTTATTGCTAGAAAAATAAATTAAGTTACTAGCAGAGCTATTAGTTGATCACTGATCCATTGACAACTTTCATCATTTGCTCAGTGCTATATTAAACAGTGTATCAGAAGGTAGATTAACTATGAGCTCCAAGCCTCCTAATAATTTAAATTAAATGAAAATTTAAAAAAATTTGAGACTCTGTTTTGGAATGCAAAGAGTATTGACTTCCAGTTTCCATTCTCTGTAGAACAAGAACATATCATTCTATTATTTAACCTGCATAAAATACATCATAGTTTCTGTTCTGCTGATGCTATAAATTAATACCAATTCTCCAGTCATAGCAGTTATGAGCATAAAGTATATCGTGTAACCCAAATCTCTCTTGGTGGAAGGCTAAAGAATGGATGCTTGAATAATGTTGCTTGCTCTCCTGTGACAACTGAGCATCCATCTCCGTCCCCCCCTGATGATTTCTTCAACATGTTAAAGCAGTGAGGAATGGTTTTCATCTCATAACCAAGTTAGAGTGAAGACACTGGCCAAATAATACACATGCTCCATTTTTTTTAAAAAATTCTGAATCTTGGGGGTAGCTGGCTATCTCCGTCGGTTGAGTGTCACCCGATTTCATCTCAGGTCATGATCTCAGGGTCGTGGAATGGAGCCCTGTGTCAGTGCTTGGTGCAATCCGCTTGAGATTCTCTCCCTCTCCCTCTGCACAACACCCCCCCCCAACGCAAACAAATAACTAAATAAATACTTTTTTTTTTTTTTTTAATTCTGAATCTTGGGCAACTCTTCTTTTATAAATACTTTGTAGTTTTTAAAAGCAGTTATTGCCTAAAGCTGGAAGAACTCAAGTCTTTGTCAGATGAGTGTGTGAATGAATGGAGGGAAGTAAACAAAAATTAAAATTTAAAAAGATGAAGTCTGACAAGGATAAGCTGGATAAGAAAATCAAAAAAGGACCAGTAGTTTAAATTTTATTCCAGCTATAATGTAGGTTATTCTGACTTTATGGTAGCATCACATGACCTACTTCTGAGTCCATTTCCAAGATACTCTGTTGTACTTATCTTTTTTAGAACCATGCAATCTCTGGGACTAGGGGGTCACGTAACAGTGAACAAATGGATGAAAGAATTTTAGAAATAGTTAAAGCAGCACATCACTGTGATCTTAGAACATTGAGACAAATAGCTACCATTACTGTTAATATTTGGCTGATAAATTCTTGTTGCAAATGCAACCTTAGGTGGTTTGAAGGAGTAGACTATAGGAAAACGAACTGTCAAAGAGAATACACCACCTTGATATGGGCTGTCATTAAGTTCCATGATTGTGGCTTGCTAATGAAAGGTGTCATCCCCAGCAGACCTGCAGAATATTATGCTAGAGGGTTATGGACCGAATCACTAAGTTCCGTATTAATCCGCTTCAGTGCCATAACCTGTGCCTTTCGTCTGGCTCCTCACTGTCTCAGTGTGTGCTCAAAGGCTGCACAGGGAAGGATCGTCTCTTCATCTCACACCAGCTCTGCCAGACACAGGCACAGAGGGACCAACGCCTCCCTCAAGCTGCCCCTAGTACTAAACTCTTATAGAAATGTATTCTGCAATATTTCATAAAAGAGGCACCAAACGACACAAAAGATGATAACACAATAGATCCTAGAAGCAGCTTTATATAACTTAAGGTCACCAGACCGTATCTGTTAGAATAACAGTAATATTTATCTATCAGTTCAGATCTTGGAAACACAGAAACCCCTTAGATCGGAAGAGTAGTAATTATACACAGGTGGAAACTTAAATACTATCAATAAATACAGTGAAAAATCAGTGTCAGTAACTCTGCAGATCCAAATAAATCCAAATCTAAGGAAGGTCTTGAAGAATTCATAAGTGGCATTGTTCTTAACACTGAGAAGAGAAAAGATACCTATATATCTTGCTACTTCTTCTGATAAAGAATGAAGATACTTACGTACTCATTTGGTCTAGCTCGTCCTGCATTGCGGTCGGTGAGTAAGCTGCAGTACATCCGTGATGTGAAACACGACACTGAAATAAAAGGTGTGTGCTGGTATTTGCTGGATCCGGTTGAAGGAGATTTGGATTCATGTCAGTTTTTGACTATCACAAATAAAGCTGTTATGAACATTTGTGTGTAGGTTTTTGTGTGAACATTGGTTTTCATTTTCTGGGTTAAATGTCCAAGAGTGTAATTGCAGAATCATCATATATACTTACCGTCTAAGCACATATTTAGTTTTACAAGAAACTGTCAAATTATTTTTGAAAGTTTATATTATTTTGTATTCCAACAAGCCATGCGTGAGCAATCTGGCTTCTTCACATCTTTGCCAGCATTTGGTATTGTCACTGTTCTTTATTTTGGCCATTCTGATAGGTATATAGCGATGTTTCATTGCAACCTGCATTTTCCTAATGGCTAATGATGTCGCAGATCTTTTTGTGTGCTTATTGGCATCTCTGTGACCTCTTCAGTGAAATGCCTATCCACATTTTTTGCTTATTTTCTAATCAGATTGTTTCCTGTTGAATTTTGAGGCTTAGTTATATCATAAATGTCTTTTAAAACAATTTTTGTTTACTTTTTTGTCAATATTTAGAAAACTAAATGTTTAAAGGGAGGACCACCTCAGCAAACTTATTCAAAGTTTGGATCACTGCCTATTGTGGCTGAGAAGGTGAGAAGGGAAAAATGATGGTACTTGTTCAGACCCACTCCTGCTTTGTTGTAAGTGCTATTTAAATGCCATGAGTCATTTGAAGTTGTTCTTAGCTATTTCTTTTCCCCTAAAGTCTGCCAGTGCGAGCTGTTCTGTGAATTCAAGTATGCAAAGCCTCCTGCAATTGATGCAACATTATGGGCCACATACCTGTCAGAAACTTCCTGAAGTTACTGAGCCTCCATGTCTCTACAAGCCTCTTAGAACAACTTCCCAGGGTAAAGCTGAACCTTCTGATTCAAAAATTTCCATTTCTATTGGTGACAGTTTGTCTGAACTTTTGATGGCAATGCAGGATGAGCTGGACCAAATGAGTATGTAAGTATTTCTATTCTTTATCAGAACTAGCAAGATATATAGCTATCTTTTTTCTTCTCAGTCTTAAGAGTAATTCCACTTATGAATTCTTAAAGGCCTTGCTTCAGATTTGGATTTATTTGGATCTGCAGAGTAGTTGTCACTGATTTTTCACTGTATTTATTGATAGTATTTAAGTTTCCACCTGTGTGTAATTACTACTTTTCCGATCTAAGGAGTTTCTGTGTTGCCAAGATCTGACCTGTTAGAAAAATACTACTGTCATTCTAACAGATACAGTCTGGTGACCTTAAATTATAACCCACAAATGCTTTTATAAGAAAGATTCTCCTTTTGTGTTTTATAATCTTTTTAATTAAGTGAGATTTCATTAGACAAGTAGGAAAGCAATTCCTTGTTTTAAACTCGGATGGTCTGCATTGTAAGTTTTGAAGCACCCATAGTAAATAAGATTCTGAGTGGGATACATATTTTAGGCCCCTACTTTAAATATATATTCAACAAGAATTCCAGGAAATATGAGATTTGGGTAGCAAACTCGTTGAACTAAGATGTCTGTAGAAGATATAGCTGGTTCTCCTGACAGTATTTCTTTAAGTGGGCTATCACCAAATCTAGAGATTTCTTGAGCAAATATTTTTATAGCTGCAGTTCTTCCCAAACACCCTATATTAAGAATTCCAAAGTTGGAACTAAAGAGAGTCCTTTAATGCTTTTAGCTAAGGACATCAGAATATTTTATTACATTTAGCTATGAAAATCAAGAATTCAGACTTTATTTTAAGGTTCTTTAAGACCCTAAGTCTGAGATATTTCTAAATTTATCTAATCTCAAATCATAAGAGCCTTTTATATTTACCATAGATTATTAGATAACTCTATGTAAAAAGACTGTCTTTGAAAATTAATATTTAATGGACAAAAATTTATGGTTGAACAGAAAACTGTTTAATTATATCAAAGACATATAGTGTAAGTCATAACAGTGCTTGATATTTGCTTTTCTTTCATAGCGAGCATGAAGAACTACTGAATCAAATGAAGGACACTGAAAGTCATTCGGTCTGTGAAGACATTGAATGTGAACTAGAGCATTTAGTCAAGAAAATGGAAATTAAAGAAGAACAGATTTCCAAACTGTTGAAGCATCAAGACAATGTAAGAAGGTTTTAGTAAAAGATTTTAATGAAAAGATACATCATGGAGGACATGGGGAGATGGAGAGGAGAAGGGAGTTGGGGGAAATTAGAGGGGGAGAGGAACGATGAGAGACTATGGACTCTAAAAAACAATCTGAGGGTTTTGAAGGGGCGGGGGGTGGGAAGTTGGGTGAGCCTAGTGGTGGGTACTATGGAGGGCACGTATTGCGTGGAGCACTGGGTGTGGTGCATAAACAATGAATTCTGGTACACTGAAAAGAAATATAAAAAATTATATAAAAAAAGATACATCTGGAGTCAGTGTTCTATTTCTGTATGATCCTTCAAATATAAGGTCTGTATGTGTAGCTTAGTAAAAAGATGGCAGGAATCCCGTAGGCCTCTTACAGAGCCATCTATTCCATTGGAATAACATTGCCTCCCACATAACTCTCCAAGATAACGTAAAGTAAGAGGAACAAAAAAGTTTAGTTATGTATTCAAAAATGGCCTTGGGAAAATTGTGAGGTAGACTAAATTTGCTTTGCAGCCCTCCTTACCCTTTTAACCATTCTTTACCTTTATCTCTCCTAACCCTAATGCCTTAATGAAGCCCTTTATGTTGACAGGTCTCTACTTCAGTACCATAGATAAACCTGGCTCCTCAAGCAGTACTCTAATGCTAAAACCACTATTTCTGCTTTCCCAGATCAAATTAATGCTGTGTTCCATTACCTGGGGACCTGTGCTTAGCTAGCTATAGTGTGATGTTAAGGGGGACTCTCTCCTTGCACGTGAATTCTTAATAACTAAGATACATAACAATTTTAATATTTTAACAGAAGAATCATGGAATATTATAAGCATGGAATATTATATTATATTTTATCCCAAGACAATGATTCCATAGGTTGGAATTTCAGCACTGTTAAGCTGTTGGAGCAGAAGGCAGAGGGAGTCTTTCCAGGAAACTTCAAATCACATCATGTAGCTTATCTGTCTATAGAATAATCAGCATTCATATAAGTTGGTGGTATATTAAGCTTACAAGAAAGCCCTCTTCACTTTTGTAGAAAAGTAATAAAGGATTCAGAATTTTACTGCCTTTATTCTCCTATGATCAATAAAGAGAAAAAGAGGAAATGAGACTTCTGAAGCAAATATTTTCACTTTACTGGCTTTTAGGGCTCTACTAAAGTAAATTTTTTTGCATGATTGTGTTAGGGTGAAGATTATTTAACTTATACACTTTCTTAGAATTGCATAGGAGAAATTTGAAGAGAGTAGAAAAATAGCCATATTTTAAATGCACATTAATTATATTTTAAAAAATATTATTTAATGTTCTATTATAGCTGTAGCAGTATAAATTTTCAAGCATTTTATCATGATAAATTTAATCTCTGCAATTAAAATGGCCTTGGACAAATACCAGGTTCTTAGCCAATGTCTGGATCAGCTCTACAAAATCAGGCCTATGCATGAGTGAAACAGACTGAGTAATGGACTAGGCTTGGCAGAAATGAGTTTTGGCAAGTTGATAGGTTTTATTTTGTTTAATTCTGTCTACCCAACTGTTACCAAATACTACTGAATGGAACTTTTTTCTTTTCTTTTCTTTTCTTTTTTTTTTTTGCACTGGCATTCAGTAGTACTTTAAATTCAGGAATTTATATATAACACATTTCACTCTGTAAATTCAATTCTCATTCCTAGTACCAGATCTTTGCTTTGCTTAATACCACCTGAAAGGTCCTTTTTCTCTCGTCTCTATTCTCCAGTTTTTACTCATTTTATATCCCTTATAAATCTTCCTCTCCGCTTTTCTGAGTTCTTGATTTTCTCAGCCTACATTGATCTTATCCTACTTTAGTCTTCTCAAATAAACACTTTTTGTCCTATTCAGAGTTATCCCAGCCTAAATTATTTTCTAGTTGTTGTGTATATGCTTTTCTTTCAGCGATAAGAGCAATAGCTTTGTGAGAGCAAGGATTGTTTTATTCATGATATTTTTACCTAACTAGCATGGTATTAGGCATATAACAAGTATTCAATAAATAAAGACCTAATGAAATTTTAAAATTTCATGTAATCTTTATAACATCAATCCATCTATTTTAGGGTATATTTTTAATGTCTTTTTTTTACTAAAATGTCAGATTTTTTTTTTTCTTTTCCAGGTCCGTAAACTGCAGCAAAAAGTTCAAAACTCAAAGATGAGTGAAGCTTCAAAGATTCAGCGAGAAGAGAACAACCTTAAAGGATCAAAGACCATAAAAAATAGTCCCAGAAGATGTTTGCTAACTAACTCTCTTCAGAAGAACAGCAACTTTCATCCAGTACAAGTCCATAATCTTCAAATGAAATTGAGAAGAGATGATATCATGTGGGAACAGTAACACAATAGTAAAACTGTCACCTTAAATGAACTCTGTCAGTGAGATCTTGAATTGTCTAGAGTGGTTTTAATTTAATATACCTTTATAAAATTTTGAATTATGTTTCTAGTCCCTATGAAGTGTCAAGTTGTAGTATTTTTTAAATTAATGCCTAATGACCTTCTCAGAGTCACAAATAATAAATGACTGTGCTTTTTTTTCTCTTACTGACCGAAATACCTAATCTGTCCATGTTTTAGACACATCGTTCACTTTGCAGATTTCTTAAACTAAGTCAAAGAATTTATACTGGATTAGTGGTATTTACAATTGAGTTAAATTTTGAGATACAAGTACCATTCCACTTTTTCATTTAGTAAGCTTGTAACCTTAAGAACCAATGTAAAATGAACACAATAATGAAAGTCTTTTACCTTTCGTGATGCTTCCTCCCTGTCTTACTTTAGAGCTGTGAAATACTTTTCTTTTTTGGAAATATAAGAGCTCTGTAAAGAGGCCTTTAGCCCAAGTTTTTAATGTGACAATTACAAATACAAACTCGTGGTTACTTTATTTTTAGATTACAGTAACTCAAGTACAGAAGCCTTTTTCTGTAGTTCCTGTTCTCTTTTACAAATCCAGGGCTCCTTTTTAAAACCAGTGACTCACCTTATTCCTTTGTACCTAAAACTTTTGATGCATTTTAGTCTTTGCATTATATATAATCATCAGTATAAATTGAGAATATGAATTCCAGTACCCACTTTTATAGCAAAGTATAGGAAAAATAAATTGGACATTTTATTACCTTTCCAATAAAAAAACTCAGAGGAATATGATACATTTTTAAAATATTTTAAAATCCGTGATGTCCTAAGTGATTTCTTTGTATATGAATGCTTTATAATAAATTTATACTTGTTGACCTATCTTTTTAGAAACTTATGGAAACTAGTATGCTCTTTAGAACTTTTTTGGTTTTTCACTGAAATCCTTTGGGGCAACTAGAGAATTGAAGTCCTCAACTGAAGTAGAAATAGAAGACTGACAGAAAAGGCATAATAGAAGGGAGGAACTCAGAAGCTCGGGTAGCAGTTTAAGAGATGGTGACTCCAAAAGGACAGAGTTGGAGGTACATTTTATCTACAGCTGGGGGAATAATCAAGCTATAGGTATGGAAGAATTTTCAGGGCAAGGTCTGGAGGAGCTAGGAAAAGCAATTATGTTAAAGACAATCCTCCTAGGAAAATCCCTAACAGAATGTAGGAGAAAGGGGGTAATTATGGAATTTCTGGTGAGGGGAGAGGAAAACTCTGATTTCGTTCTCATTTGAGAGAAGAGGTGTTATGTAAGAGGACCTTTCCAGACCCAAAGTGGGGAAATAACTGAAAATAGATGAATACTTGGCATTATCCTTGAAAGTAAATTATGATAGAGATGAAAGATTCTCTCTGGCTGAACTACTGCATGTGTCCTTCACCCACTCTTATTCCCTCTCCCTCTACAGCTTCTTCAGCCCCAGAGATGTTGCTTCATCTAAATTCATTTTCATCACCTTATCTACTTTTCAACTTTGCCTTTCCTCTTCCAGAATGTGAGTGCTATAGTTTCAACTTAGCGGAAACCTCACTAGACCATAATGCAGCCCGATACCCTTCTGTGCCTTTGTTCCCTATGCGTTTAGGAAGGTGGCTGGCTATATTTAGTTTATCAGTAGTAAAGTCATTACTTGCAAAAATGTATTGCTAAAACAAAAATAGAGTCATTTTAGGAACGCTTGAATATTTCAGTTAAACACTGAGAGTTTTCTTGGAAAACCGGTGTTGTGTAGGAGAAAAACCATAAGACTTCAGAATTAGGAGACTCAGGTTCAAATTTTGACTCCAGGCTTTTAGTAGCTTGGACAATCAAGTAACTTTGGAGGCTCCATTTCTTATTTGTTAAGTAGGGATTATATTGTTACCTACCTCACAGGACTGTTGCGAGAAGTAAATGAAATAACACGTCAAAGCCCCTGGCAGAAGGGTTGGTGCTGAGTAAAAATTCAATAAATATTAAATCTGACTGCCCTCCCCGACCAAAAGTGGTCAGAGAACCTGAGTTTGCATGGCTTAAAGCCTAAAAGCAGGAAGCGAAATGTGTTCTTCGGAAAAGTGGAAATATTCTAATTACTTGGATTTGGTTTTTTGGACTGTTGTTTCGTTTGTTTTTTTGCTTTTTTGGTTTTTTTGCCTGTGTGTCTGGGAGGAAGTTATTTTGGCTTATTCCCTAGCTCAGGTTTCTAGTGAGACGGGGGGAAGAACATGGTCTTACATTGGTGCAGAAGAAATACACAATCACACAGAGCCACTTGATTTGGAGACTGTTTTGGTTGTTGGGTAACAGTTATTATGGAGAGACACTAAAAAATTGTCTCTTGTTGCTCCATCACAGCTACTGAACTAAAAACGTGTCCTGCTTGCAGACGGCTGTTTGCCAGAGCCCTTGACTCCTCAGGAGGTGGAGCAAATGATTTCCTTCCTGGACAGGGGCAATCTGTGGTCAGTGTTCCCGAGTTACTGTAGCAACCCTGCAGCTGTGCTCTGCCTAGCAGAAACTCGGTAGGATATCATTGATTTTGCCCACTTCAGTGAAAAACAGGTTTGTTTGTTTTTTATTTAATCAGAAATGGAAAAAAAAATGAAGTTGGAACTTTCTAGGCAGGACAGGTCTCAGATTTGATGAAACTGTGAAACTAGGAAGTTTGAGTGTTTAACCTAGCAGGTATTGTGAGTACTCTAATCGTAGAAACAGCGGTTGGAATCTTGAATTAACTGTACCTGTGTGGGTCATTGGTAACCTAGTCCATTTTTATTAGGTTGTGTAGCTGAGGATAGGAGGGTTGGAGGGAAATGTTCGGTTTTCAGCAGAATAAGATTAAAGGAGATCTTAAAATAGTGAGCTTTTAGCAAGTGGTGATGGTATACTGAAAAGTTTTTGAGATTTTAGAGTCATTTTCCTCTAAAACTACAATTTGAACTCTAAAGGAGTAGTCTTAATCTGTGATAAGACATCAAAAAATTACATTAAAATTTGACTTGCAGTGTGGTGAGCCTCAAACTAAGGGGAAAAGTCTGGTTGGTTATGCACAATGAAAGGAGTGCTCACTATGGCCAAAAATGTACCAGCTGCTACTGTTGGTGTAGGGTAAATAGTGAAACTCCTAATGGGGTTTCCTGGAACTCTATTCAGCTGTAGCTAAAGCTGTATGTACTGAGAACATTTAATTGTATGTGAAGTTTAGATAAGTTCAAGCTGACTCCCAGAATGTATAACAAGACAAACCTCTCTATGGAATAATAGCATCTGTGAGGGGAAAAAGAACAAAACAAACAACAACAAAAAAAAACTCCATATGGGTGCCATGGCACCTTTGGATTAAAATGAAATGAGGATAAATAAAAGTAAAATTGACTGCCATTGATGTAAAACTAGATTTATTTCTTGGTGATTAAATAGACCTTGCCAATGCTTCAGCCTTTTTCTTCATAATCTATAAACTTATGTTCATGTAACTTTTCTCCTTTAATTCCTTTTTTATATTTTGTTAAAGAAGGAGAATTAATCATAACAAAATTATAAAGTTTAAAGTTTTATAATACTGTCTAGGGCAGAGTTTGTTTTTATTGTATTTGTGAATTAGTCGTTTAAAGAATAAAGTGGATTTTTTGTTTCCCTGGTGGGATTTTTGGGAACGTTCTGCTTGTTCATACAGAGTCATTGAATTCTCATTTGGTACTAGATCCCACTAGGTGCCATAGGCAATTATTAGAATTACAATTAGCACACCCCCCCAATTTATTTTTTATTATATACAAATGGTCCACTGGGTACCTGTGTGCATTAGCAGTTTCAGCAGAACATAACGGAGAAGCAAATTTATCTCTTGTTACTTTATACTCTGAGGCAGTTCTGTGACAATCTTAAGTTCAGCGGTCTACCATGTTAATGACCCATTCAGCGGTCTACAGTGTTAGGAGGCTAGACCCAGTGTGGTTAGAGAAGGGATGTTAGGAATTAAGAATTATCTGTCAAAAAAAAAAAAAAAAGATAAAAAGTTCTGATTATCTTTTAAATAAGGGTAAAGTTGTCCTTCTTACTCTCTGCCTAGGTTTCTCCTCTGTAGATACTGCTTATCTATCCTTCCCTCATTCTTCAGATCTCAATGTACTGCTTCCTCAAGGAAGTCCTCTGTAAGTCTCCCCTTCATACTCCTCTCCCATCTCCCAGATCTGGCTTCACTGCCACTTCTAGGTATTTCTCCTATCTTTGCACCTCGAACACTTTCTTGTTATCACTTGTTTGTCTTTCCCATAGACTGAAAGTTCCCTAAAGGCAAGATCCTTTCTTGCTCATTACTGTAGCCCAGCACTCACATAATACTAGCCTGTAAGTAGTAACCTTCTCAATAAATATTTAATAATTACATGTCATGAAATTGTGTTAACTGTCTTTGGTGACCTCATCTGAGTAAGCATATCGGGTCACTTACAGCTGTTTTAGGCACCAGTTCAATTGTGCTACTGTTGGATCTTTCAAGGATATGTGACCAAATTTTACATAATTCCTGGTTAAAATATGCCAGTATTTTATTGTTTGTTTGTTTGTTTGTTTGGGGGTAAAGACAAAAGGCAGTCAGGATGATGCTTTCTTTGATTTTATGATGCCAAGAGGAAAAGGTTAGAGAGCCAAGGTAGTTCTTTATTTGTATATTGGTATGTCAGACTTGTTCAGTCAGCAAGTATTTCCTGATCTCTAATCAAGTCTTTGTTGATCTACAAGATACTGTGCTAGATGCTATGGGAGATTCAAAGCCAAATTATGCATGGATTCTCTCTTCAAGTTGCCCATAGCCTGATAAGAGGAAACAGAAATATAACAGAAGGAAGAAAACAGTAGGTGACATAGAGGTATAATGACCATTCCAGAGAAGATGCTTAAATATTTGGCTACTAAATTTTTGTTCATCATCTGTTGATAGGTAAAGTTGAACCTATTTGTATTTCTTCATTCTCTTTCTTGATATATATAGCTTTCATTTGCTTTTTCACCTGGTGGCAGTATTGGTCTAGGATTCTTAATTCTTACTGATTGAAGATACCAGTTCGCTTAGCATAAATTTCAAACAAGTGTTGTCCACATAACCATGTATCAAATTATGAGTAGAAAAAATGGGTATGGAACACCTAAGTAAAATGGGAAGGCAGTAGAGAATGGAGAGGGTAAAAAAAAAAAAAAGCAATAATGACTTAGACTAAAACAGAAAAATAATACTTTTACAGAAAAGTTGTATTCTAGAGACCAATTATTGGCCTGTACAGAATTATGCAAATGATCACCACTCACTTTTCTTATGAATTTAAGCCACTCGATTTTCTCACTCTTCAGCTTCCTCATTGGTTGGACTAAGTCTGTTTTTCAAACTGCAGGTCATATCCTATTAATGGATTGTGAAATCCATTTAGTGGGTCTCTACGAACAATTTTAAAATATTAGCATAGCACTGAAAATACACAGAGAAGGTAGTCAGTGTTTTTGTGAAACTCTGTGAATACTGGGTTATAATTTAAAATGTAGTCCTAAATGTTATTTAAGGAAGAAAAAGTTGGCTCATAGTAAATGTTCAGACGGAATGAATTTGAAAGATGTGGGGGAAAGAGAGAGAACCAATTTAAAATAGGAGTACTCCCAAATCCCCTATATGGCTTGTGACAATCCATTGCTTATCCCGGTAATGCTACAAATCTGTTTTATATATTTTACAGATAGAAGTCCCATTTTAATACCATTACATTTCCTGGTCTATAGAATACTCTTTTCAAACACTAAGCAACCGTTATTAGAGAAATTTCACTTTTCTAATGTGCGCACAAATAAATGTATTCAACATGAATCCCTTAATGAATGACATCATTATGCCTCATCCATTGTTGCTATCTGGTCACTGCCTCTGTGTGGAATCTAACCAAGTATGGGTCTTATGGTTAGGAAACAAATTTGTTCTGTTTAAGACAGTTTTAAAATTAATAAAGATAGGAGAGTTGTGAGAAAAAAAAACTATGCATGTCCTGAATCTGAAATGAGCAAAGATTTATCCTAGACAAACCTGAGCATCAACATTCAACACAAAGAAAAAATTAAAAATCTGATAATATTACCGATGTGGCACTTTTTAAAAATCATATCATTTTACTGAGCGTTAGACCTGATAGAATATTTTTAAATGAGTGAGCAGATGGAATAGATAATAAATACCTTACCTGAAAAATAGCTTCATTAAATAAAGTACTACTAAGGGGTTACATTTCTGTGACTTTTGATATCCTCCTCAATGTATTTCTTAGTAGCCATATCAGCTCTGAATTATGGTCAGAACATAGGAAGAAGTGCCGTAGGGAAGTAAACATTGGAACTGTGTTCATTATAATGGGATTCTACCCACTTGGCAAAAGTTTATTCACTACAAATTACTGAAGTTGCTTAAACAAAGAGATCTTAGTCTTTAGGAAAGGAGGATGGTAAAGTGAACAGGCCCTCTAGTCATAGCTAAAATAATAAACTTTTGACCTAATTTTACATAACCAGATTAAGTAAATTTTAGGACAACTTCAGAAAAACACTGGAAGGCATTTTTTGGTTAGTTTTCTTTAAAGTTAAATGTACATTGACTTGTATGGTATTTCTTAGAAGAATCTATTACTGAACTGGTACAGAATGTGAGTCATTTCTTGTCTGAAGTAAAAGATTGATGTTTACAGGGCAGTTGTCCAGAATCTTCTTGCTGAACCAGAAAGTATTTCACTTCTCTTCACTGTAGGTCCTTTTAACTTTACAAATGTGTTATTTAAAACATAAATTATATTGGTACACTGGAAGCCCATTTAAAATGAAATTGAAAAACACTCCTGAGGATTCCATGGAATATTTATGGTTTTATAGTTTATAATTTCTCGCAAAAGAAAAAATGTTTAATACCTTAAAAATCTTTTCAGAAATAGCCAAATCTAAAATATGTAATGCATATGAGAGAACAGTGCTACTAATATCTTAACTATTGAATGCTTGAACACAACATAAAAAGCATTATCTTCTGCTTTCCTAAAAATAAACTATAAATTTGAAGCTAAGAAATTCAGTACCAGAGTTAAAAGAAATTATTTTCAAGTTCAGAATTGCTTTTAATCTCTAAAGTAACAGGTATTTTAAAAACTTATTCTATGATTTTATGTATGTAACTTCTCTATTCGATAAACTTGGAAGAATTTGTATCAGTTATCATATACCTTGATTCTCTCTGGTATGATTTAAATCCTAGGCCCCTAAGCTACATTTTCAGATAGGGTATTTTCTTTTTGTTCATTTACAGTATAGGTCTCAAGTAGATGGAGGGCTATGTGACTTTGGTATTTGGGTAGGATATTTGCCTGTGATTTCAAATTCTCAGAGCCACTTCAGAACATTCCTAGGAATGTTCCACACAAAATAGCATTTCTCTTAACCAATCTACTAAAATGCTATTGATTCAAGCTACCATCTACTGAAATAAAACTTAAACTACTTAGAGACCAAAGTATTTAGAAAAGAGGAGTTTATATGCCAAAAAAAAAAAAAAAATCTGCAAAGGAATCAAGCTTTAGAAAGACAGCCTTAATTAAAAATATGACATACATTTAAAGGAAAAAAGCAACCTACAAACTTATCAAGGTCACCGAGTTTGCATTTAATCTCCTCATATCCAAAAAGGTCATCACATATCTTCAGACATCAACATTTCCAAAATCGGGGCAATAGTTGTTTTCATTAGAGAATAACTTACAGGAAAGACTCAAGAGTTCATTTATTTGAGGAGCAACTACCAGACAGAGTTAACTTGTTTGCTGATGTTACTTTATCTCAGGGTTTCAAAGTGTGTTTGCAGGGAATCCCCAAGATCACCTTTGTATTCAGTGTTTCACTAACAGGACACTCAGAACTTAGAAAAGCTGTTATACTCACAGTTAAGGTTTATTAGAGCAAAAGGATACAGACTTAAATAAGCAACTGAAAAAGGGACACAAGGCCAAGTCCAGGAAACACCAGGCAGGAGCTGCCAGTTGTCCTCTTCCAGTGAAGTCATGCAGACAGCGTTTAATTCTCCTGGCAATGATGTGTGATGATACGCTTGCTGTACTGCCAAGCAGGGAAGCTCCTCTGACAGAGCCTCTATGTCCAGGTTTTTTCCTGTGGGCTGATGACACAAGCGCATGGCTAACTGCCCAAATGACTGACCTTCAGTCTCCAGCCCCTCTGTGGATCAAGCTGATACTGTATGGCCCAAGGCCATGGTGGATCATAAGTCACATTGTCAGCATAGACTACCTGGTCAGGCCTCAGGCCCTTAGGTAAACAAAAACATTATCAGACAGGATATTCCAAGGGTGGAGAGGTCATCTCTTAGGAGCGGAGTAAAGACCAAACCTTTCTTTGGAATGTGAAAGGTTTGCACAACTTGGGCAGTCTGTGTTGACCCTTTACTGTATAGTGTTACTTCGTTTTGTTTTCTGACTCTGGAATGTGATGTGCATTGCTTACCCATCTGGTTAAGATGTAAATTTTGTCTCCAGATTTCCTTTTAAGCCCGGCTTTGACTGCATAAATTTGCCTAGTGATTTTACGGTGCAGTATTATTACTTTGATGGTTTATTTGGTCAGTTTTATTATATGAATGTGATAAAGGGTGATGCTTAAGCACAGAGACCTCTTTATAATCTGTTTAGTGAAATTAGAGGCATGTGATACTAAAACTGAGGGGTTAACTTTGGAGGCTTTGTAAAGACTTTAAGGTTGTCATTGGTTTATGTTTAAAATATTGCTCTTACTGGCTCATATACCAAGATCGGGAACCAAGAGCCATTCAGTTCACCTCAGTCAAGTTACTTGGACCTTGTTGCTTAGCAATGGGCTTGCCATACCTGATTTAATTAGATTTAAGGCATAGCCACAGACTCAAAAGCAATTTTTAAATTACTGCTTGATAGGAAAGAGAATAGATCTTTATTGAACTTATACAAAATAGCTACATGACTGTCAAAAGTCAAGGAAACTTAGTAAAGGCATTCTGTGTAATATTTAACCATTTTTACTATTTTGTGGTACACATTTATGTCATTTTCTCCAGTATCGCTATTTTTATGTTTTCTTGACAATATATTACTTATAAATTATATCAAGAATTTTCAAAGAATTTTTTTTTCTGGAATTCCAAAGGGTCAGTTGGAACATACCATTTAAAGAATGTTTATGCCAGTTTATGTAGTGTAGCCAATAGATAGTTCAAAATAAAGAAGATGTCCATTAACCATAATTAACTCATTTCAACCTAGGTAATTATATCTTGTTTTTCTGATTTTGGGTGGAGCACTCATTTTCACAAAGTCATTTGCTTCTGGATTTAAAGAATCCTAGAAATCCTGACTCTTATCTTTTGGTAGGCTGACAGGTATCTTTTTGTCATGCTGACATCAGTTTATACTGAAAAATCTGTTATCCATGAGCCTACGCCCTATAGAGTCAACAATTATGAGTGTGGTAAAAGTCTTTACTGAGGCTTTCATTCTTCTCATGTTTCTTCCAGAAGATTCAGTTTTTGCTCTGTAGCTTATCACGGGGACTTCAGGCAAATGTAAGAAAAAAGCGGAAAGTATCTGTGGATGATAAGACACAATGGCTTAGGTTAATGTGTAAAGGCCTAACAATACTAGAATAGAGGGGAGTGGAACTGTATTTTTTTTTTCTGAAGTAACACATAATCCCTTTGCAAGATTTTAGTCAATGATTATCCTGAGAGGAAAAATACATTTATAGACAGAGTAGGCATTAAATTTCATTTAATTAATGTCATAAAATATTTTAGGATTGTCACCTGCAAACAAATTATTCTTAAAAAATCAATTTTTAAAAAATAGTTACTGTACCAATCTTTGTATATGGATAGGTATATGC